GAGTTGTAAGAGTTGGTGAGAAAGGAATGTTGTGGAAAACAAGGAAAAGGAATGTATGATGTGAATGAAAGTGGGAAGTAGAATATGCGCGTACGCTGTCTGATATTTTCTTGTTCGCGAACACACACACACACATACACACAACACCCAAAAAAAAACACACACCTCATAATAAAAGAGCAAATCACTTTGTAACAGGGTTTAAAGGATGTTGGGAGCCGAGTATAGCTCTGACTGGAGAAGTAAAGCAGTAATGCTGGCGTTCTGGGGATAGTGAATTACTGATCCAGAAAGAGAGTACTTGAGTTCTCGTTTCTTACCTGTGAACAGTGAATTGTAAGCCCTCTCTAAAGACTCTGAGAGTCATTTAGATCTAATGGTAACAGACACCCGTAGTTGCATGAGTGCAGGACTGCACAGGATTTCCAAGTGGAAAGCACTCCCCTATGAGCTGTTACCTCACACAACACCGTAAGATCATACTGAATGAGGAGGAAACAATCAACTCATCCTGCCCTGAAAAGGACCTCAGCTTACTGTATACTCTATATAAGAGTGAGAGCCCATATACCAGCCCAGCGCGAACGATACTTTAGTTACAGTTCACTCGCTGCGGATGCCCGGTGATTTGAGAAAAATTGTTAAAGAATTTCTTAATAGCCGGGAAGAACCTGAAAAAATCCAAAGAGAAATTACTACGGTCAAAGAATGTTATAATCTAAATTGGTCTGATCTAAATAAAACTATTGCGAGTTGTTACACCTTCAGAAATTAGACAACATGTGCAAACTGCTGCCAATTGGCCAGTGCAAAACCCCAAAACAAGTGCGGCTCTGGAATCACCCCGCATTAGGTTAATAGAGGCTATACTGTAAGTACGGTACACCTCAAAGAGACCGATTCATAATCGCAAACAAAATAAAGGAGGAAACCCTGCTGATTCTATAGAAAGAACGGCCAAACTCTTTGAATTACATTCAGGTACTATATTCATCAACCAAGAGGTAACGTGAACTGCCTAAAGTACAAAACCTGTTGAAAATCATCTGTGTTGGTTGATAAAATAAAGATCTGGAAGAATTGGTAAATATAGCCCACTATTGTTATTGATGTCAGGAGCAAAATAAAAAAGAGAAATTAAAAACCGCTAATGACCGTGCAGAATTGGCTATTCTACAGGAAGCTGCGGATGAAATAAAGACTCCTGGTTGCTCCTTATATCCTGACAAACTCTGGCGTTCTCAGGACGGCCGCCTGGTAACGCCTAGAGCTCAATTGCCCTGTCTTGCTCACATCTCCCATGAGCTGGCACATGTGAGCAAAGGGGGGATGGTGACTGCAATACAAACAAAAAGAATGTTTGCCCCTAATTTTGCTTCAGTTGCTGCACAAACCTGTAAAAGATGTGTAACCTATCAGCAGCTTAATGTGGGAAAACCTGAAAACTTTTCAAGCAGCACACCCTCCCCCTTGGGGATTGTTTGTAAATATTTAAATATATTTTGTACAGTTGACTAAATGTTGTGGATATGAGTAGGTCTTAGTAATGGATTGTAGTAGTGGATTAATTTACAAAATTAGTAGAAGCATTTCCCTGCAGAAAGGTTGATGTGAAAAACTGTAGTGAAAGCTCTGATGAAAGACTTTGTATGCAGGTTTGGGATTCCTACTAGTATTAACAGTGACCGAGGAACTCATTTTTCAAATCAAATCATGAAGGAACTATGTCATGCCCGGCAGATTAAACAGAATCTTCACTGTCCTTATCACCCACAGTCTGCAGGACTGGTAGAAAGACAGAATGGAATACTGAAGAACAAACTGGCTAAGTTATGTAATGTGACGCGGTTTAAATGGCCAGATGCATTGCCACTGGCTCTCATGAGTATGCAGTGTACACCCAACAGGAAAACGGGGCTAAGCCCTCATGAAATTCCATGGGCAACCCCATGAGAGCCCCTTTCTCACTCCCTCTGACTATGGCAGAGATGGGTATCCACTTCATGGATGATATGTTGCTTTCCTTCTGTCAGAACCTAATCAGAAATGTGAAGTGTATCCACTCTCAGGTACGTGCAGCCCAGGAAAAAGAACCTGATTGACCGTGTCACTCCATCCAGCCAGGAGACTGGGTCTACATCAAGGTATACTAACAAAAGACGGCACTGGAACCTCTCTGGAAAGAACCTTTCCAGGTTCTGCTAATCACCAACACTGTCATAAAGTGTCAAGGCCAGCCCACATGGATCCACGCATCCCACTGCAAACTCGCTGCTGCACCTGACCTCAACGAGACGGACCCGCCAGAATCATCACAGGCCTCTAAAAAGGGCCCAGAAAAAGATGAAAGTTCTGTGCCACCAGAACCAACGCAGGCCTGGAGTAGTGGCCCAGAAGAAGATGAATAGAATTTGAGTTACAGACTCTCGACAGGATCTGCTGTTTATTTGAAATGTTGTTTCTAATCTTTATGTGTGGTCTAGGAAGTGTCGCACGGGGGTGGGAGAGTAACTCTTTCCTTAAATTCACACACCAGTATGCAAAATCATTGAATAAATCAGAATGCTGGGTTTGCTCCCACATCCCACATAATTCTGGAGCAGGTATCCCCATGGCACCAGTTCCCTTTACTTGGGATGATATGTGTGCCAACTGAAAAACAGTTAAATTGGCAACCTGATGAGAAATAAAAAATATGGCATCCCAGTGGCTGCAAGTATTCTGTGTACAGTACTAATGTCACTTTTGGAGGATGGTATAAACCTCCCTATAATGTCACACAAATAACTAATGATGTTCCAGGCTTAAAATTGGCTAACAAAGCTGAAGGGCTTCTCTGTTAACAATGGCATTGTCTATATGGGAAATAGTTCCTGCAATTATACCCTTAGTTGTTATCAGAATGTTACCATGAAGATAGTTAACCGCACCGACCCTTCCTCAGTTTTTTATGCAACCCAGTACTTCAGCAGAGGTTATATTTTCAAATCCTCTGGAATGCGAAGTTACAATGGGACTTATTTCATTTGTGGGGATCAAGCATATCCCTGGCTTCCACTTGACTATTGCTCTTATTTGGCTGTGTAATTGGAGTATATGCATGCTTTTCAGTTATTAAATGTTGTTGTACTTGCACATCAAAAGAAATCCAAGCCCAGATGTCTAACACAGATGTAAAGCTAATGTTAATTAAATGTAAAGAACAAAGGAGACAAGAAGAAGAGGAAATTGACAGGTGATGCAGACAGGCATTTAAAGAGTAGTAGAGAGTAGAGTAGTCAAATAGTTTTATACCATATGTACATCTACTTTGGAATTGTTAATTGCACTGATCTCTCGGACATACACAGTACAATGGACAAACGCAACGCAGACAACAGGAACAATTATAATGTAGACAACAGAAATAATAAAGTGGGGAGTGTGGAAGACCGAGTCAAAAGGTCAGGACAGTGACTATGCGTGGGAAAGGTTTTCTGTTCACACCTAAGACCACTGTCTTAGGTGCAAACTAAAGCCTGTGATTCCTCACACCCATTCAACCAGAGAGAAATGAAACAGATTTCAGGATGCCAAATGGCATCTTCCTGTCCTGTTTGTTTGACTTCTGACACTGCCCCTCTCCCTTTATGTTCCTTTGATATGTTAAAGTCTTGCCTACTTTTAATGTATAAAAAGGAAAGTATAACTTCAGTCCAGTGAGCATGTCTTTGGTGCTAGGGGTTTCCTATCTCTGTAATGTGCTCCCCTTCAGCTGATTGTATTAAAGATCTCTGTTTGAAAATCTCCTACCTGAGTGAAAACTGAGTTTTCTTCGACACAAGGAAAATGTATGAACTGTGCTACAATTTTATTTTTTGATAAGTATTCTGTCATGAGAAATATTGTGTTGAATGGTGTTCTCGATAAGCATTGTTTCAGGCTTAAATAGGTTAAGAATAGCCAATACATACAGTATCTCTGTAGGTCAGAATTTTTTTTTAGAAAACATTAAATAAACTATATTCCTAAGTTTCCTTTCAGCCCTAAAACACAGCAATGCCATCCAAAACTTTCTACATTGTACGGGAATAAAACCCTAAC